TGGCGGCTCGCATCCGCGCGGCTCGGCGGGCTCCATGGCGGGCGCGCCTCCGGCCTCCGGGCGCCGGCGCCTCCGGTCTGCGGGATCGGCGGCGGCGGGGGTGGCCCGGGGAGCGGCGGGCACCGCCGGCGGCAGCCGAGGGACTGAATGACGGGCCGAGCCGGAGGCATCCTCGCCGTGCAGCTGGTGCCACGGCGGTTGCATCGCCTCCGCCCAGCGTCCGGCCCCTCGTGGCCAGGCCTCCCGAGCCGTCCGGAGGCGCAGCCACGTCCGCCCATGCTCCGCGCCGCTTCGCTGAGCCACCCGCGGATCCAGCTGCCCGCAGAGCCGCGAGGCACGAGCCCTGCTTTTTGCTTATGTGGCTTTCAGCAGCCGCCAGGCGGGCAGGCGGAAACCGGCCTGGCGCAGCCTGGAAGTAAGCTTCACGTGTTGGATTTTTGTCTGCCTTGCCAGAGGTTGCAAGGGAGGCGACGGTCCAGGGGCAGCGGCAGGTCCTGAAAAAGCTCAGGGCATTTGGTTAAAACGAAAATCAATCTGCGTAAAACGATTGTATAGACCAGGAAAAGGGGGGCATTTGATTAAAGAAGTAGGACAAAAAGATTCAAGGAAAAAAGCTAATCTAGGGGGATCAGCTGCAGCAGCACCCCCACCCCGCCCCAGTTTTTCAGCAAGTGTCCAAACTTTAGTTCAAAGTGGGCTAAATGAAACAACCATCAGGTGGATCCTCAAGTGACGACAGAATCAGACCGAAAGAGTATCAATGGCATTTTCTCAAACTGAGGAGAGAGAACGAGCAGGACTCGGTGGGTTTCGTCCTGAGCCAGTGCTCATCAACGTTCTTATTAATGATTTGGAGGAGGAGGTAGAAGGAATGCTGACCATAATTGCAGATTATGGATGACATAGCTAATACCCTTGGTCTTGATGGGTGGAAGCGCTGGTCTGAAAACTACGCAACGTAATTTAATAGGGACGAATACATAGTTACAAGACGGGGGGTTCTTGGCTCAAGTGTACTGGAAGTGAAAAGGATCTTGCAATTGTCATACATACAGGCTGAAAAAGAGTCATCTGGGTAACATGCCTACAAGAAAAGCTAATGCTGCTTTGCGCTGCATTGATAGAAATGCCACCTCCAGATCATGAGCAGTGCTAGTTCTTCCTATTCGGCACTAGTCAGACAACATCTCAAGTAGTGTGTTGAGGGCACCACATGCAGTCAAAATGGGAAAAGTTCACAGAAAGGCAACAAAGATGGTCCAGGGAGGGGATTTTGGGCCGTCTTCGGGCTCTCGGCTGGATTGTTGTCAGGATAAAATGGTGGAAGAATCATGCTTGCCACTTTCTTCCCATTAGAAGAAAGGTAGGAAGTATAACAAAATGTGGGGTGTGCATTTGCATGAATGTATGTACACACACACAAAACACAAACATCCTTTCCAAAGTGACAAAAAGCTCAGTGAGATCAATAAATATATCAGAATCTGGAATCACACAAAGCATTGGAAACAGATGGTAATCCCTGCATAAAAATTCAAGGTTCATCTTAGCCCAAAAGCTACTCATAAGAGGCAGGAATTAGCCATCTAATGCCTGCGCTTGACAGCTGCTATCCTTCCAGCATTTAAACTGCCTTCATAAATGGGAACTTGAGAACTGCCTTGTTGGATCAGACTAAGGCTATATTTAGCTGAGCTTCCTGTTATCATTTCTGCCATCCATCCATCCAGACATCCAGAATCTCCCAAACAGAATATCTTTGTCCTTAATTTCTGGTATTTAAATAACCTCAGTATGAAGGTCCTATTTAGTTTTAAAATAAACCTTCCTCCTTGCAACTAAAAAAATAGCCATCTAAGTTTCTCTTTTATACATGCTTCAAATCTTTCTTTCTTTCTCTTGCTTACTGTGATACTGTTGTAATGATGTATTATTAGCCAACTTTGCTTGTGTTTTACATCACCTTTTGTCAAGTGCTCAGTGCTGTGCTTAGACCTGGGAAATGGACTCAAATAGACAAATAAGTAGATATTGCAAAGAGGATTAAATGTGTAAGTCTTACACATGAGTAAGTCCCATTCAGCTCAGTGGAACTTACTTTTGAATATACAAGGACTGCACTCATAATGAATGCTATGCAAATTATTATTAGCCACATAAAAAGATAAAGGTAAAGGTTTCCCCTTGACATTAAAGTCCAGTCATGCCTGACTCTAGGGGGCGGTGCTCATCTCCGTTTCCTAGCCGAGGGAGCCAGCGTTTGTCCGCAGACAGTCTCCGTGGTCATGTGGCCGGCATGACTAAACACCGAAGTGCACGGAATGCTGTTACCTGCCCACCGAAGTGGTAGCTTTTTATCTACTTGCATTTTCATGCTTTCGAACTGCAAGGTTGGCAGGAGCTGGGATGGAGCAATGGGAACTCACCCCGTTGTGCAGATTCGAACATTATCCACATAGATTTTGTTTAATTTCTATAACACCCAATAGCAGAAGGTCTCTTGACAGTTTATATCAGTTCCAAACAGTTCCATAATACATATTTTCCATAATATTTTTTTAAAAACACGATAATCATTTTAAAACAATTTAGCAGCTACAGTGGCACTTAATGCAAAATAAAACACCATTAAATGGCTGAACACAAAGTCCAATTTAAAGGATGCTGAAAAGATGACAAAGTTTGCCCCTGGTGAGCTACAGCACAGAGATAATTCTACCGTTGGGGGCACTTCCCATTTGAGAAGGCCCTTTCTGCTTTCATCCAAGCCTTCTTTGAGAAAGTCCTCAGATGCTGATTGTGGTGTATGGATAGAATGCAGCTGGGAGGGGCACTTCATCAAGTATTGTGGTCCCAAGCCATAGATACATCTGAAGTAGTTATGACTCAACAATACAAGAATAGGAATACATAAACCAGAGTACCCTTACACTTAAGTTCCAATTCATTTCAAAGCCAAATACAGCCATCTAAACAGATCATTTCAATTACATGAACATTAAAACATGTTAAAGTCATGATAATGCCAATGTGAAAGACACAAACCCATTTTGCTGCATCCAAAGACTAAATGCATTTCTATCATCTACCCCACACGCAATTTACGTAGAATGCTGAAAACAAAAATGCAGATACCATAGCGAATGCCTTAGTTCAGTGGCTGCGCACACTCACGTTGTGGGTAAAAAGAGCCAGTGTGGTGTAGTGTTTAAGAGCATGGGACTGGGACTCAGACGATCTGGGTTCTAGTCTTCGCTCAGCCATGGAGCCAACTGGGTGACTTTGGGCCAGCCACAGACTCTCAGCTCAACCTACCTCACAGGGTTGTTGTTGTGGGGATAAGATGGAGGAGGAGATGTAAGCTGCCTTGAGCCCTTTGTAGGAAAAAGGCAGGATATCAATCAATCAATCAATCAATCAAAAGTCACATGTTCAATTTTCAACAGCTCCAGGTAGGGCTCTGTGTCCCTGATGAGCTGCAGCTCATTAGTGCTCTTCTACTCAGTTCCACCCCCACAACCCTACCCATCTCTCAGGTTCATCCAAAGTTCCTGCCAGGCATTTTAAAATGTGAATCTTTAATCTACAAGCATGTGTAGTTCACTGTGCCAAGGATGCCTTGTCCCAAGTATGTAGAAGGGTTCATCTTATCTTAGGGTAAATCCATTTTGCTTTCAAACTGAGAGGTGCTTAGACACCCAAGTTCACTACTGGAGGAAATGAGAGAGCAGCAGTCTCCCTGGGCTTCTCATTTGCTACAAGTGTAAATTATCTTGCTCAGCCTCTCTGCTGCTGAATTTCCTCTCCACCTATCACTTTTGCATCAAACTATTGGAAGTGCCAAACAAATGTGATAAGGTTGATTCCCATTATTCTTCTGGAACTTACAGCTGCAGCAATATTTGTATCACAGGTTTAAACTACGAGTTCAATGGTCATTCCCTTTCTCAGATGGAAACCTGGAAATTATAGAGCTATAAGATGGAATGATTAGAGATCTTTAATATTTGGCAACCTTATATAACTATCAATCTTTGATGGAAGCCATGACAGTTAATTTGGTATTAACCTGATATAACGGCTTATATTTATTAACTTAATTTGTTTGCAATATTTGTAGATTGTTCCATATCTAGGCAGATTCTGCAGTGGTGGATATTGGGAATGATAATGGTTCACAATCTGGTATTAACTTGATATAATGTTTTGCAATTTAGATACATGCTTAAACTTTATTTTTTTTATTTATTATTTATTAAAACATTTCTATGCTGCCCCATTCAAAGCCTTGGGGCGGCTCACAACATAAAATATAATACAAAAATAGCAATATAAAACTAACAATATAAAATAAATAACAATATAAAAGATTACATTTAATTACATGCACAAAAGCCACACCTACAAAGAGTGATTACAAAGGCAAAAAGCATGCTAAACAGTTACGTTCTGTGTATGTTTATTCAGTAAGCCCCTCTGAATTTGATTGGATTTACTAATATATATTGTGTGATCCATGCATCAGGAACATGGGGACTATTGTTGAATGGAGCACACAGAACACATGTACTGAAATAGCTGCATTGGCTGTCGGTTTGCTATGGACCCCTGTTTATCAACACACAAAACTCTGAACAGCTTGGAGGCAGGTTACTTCTTATCTCCCTGTATATATTGGTTAAGCCAGTATGTTCTTCATGGAAGGCTTTGCTGCCCATGTCAAATCTTGCAGAGTTCCACCTGGCAGCAACATGGCAATGTGATGGTGCCCTTCCTCTGGAACAACATCTCTCCTGTGATATGCTAGGCATTGATGATTGTGTGCTTTCAAGGCTTCTTAAAAACCTCTTTACCCTGGCTTTTCCTAACCATTAACTTGTCTAAGTGTTTTTATGCTCTTATAATGATGTATGATTTTATAATTTGCTGTAAACCACTTTGGGATTTCTTTTTTTTTAAAGTAGGAAGCGGTATACAGTATAAATATTGTAAAACAGAAAGACAGATAAAGAGCTTGGTCTGAAGGCATTTGATGCAGCAACCAAGCTGAAGATAACTAGTCTAGATTTACTCAGCTACCTGCCTGGGAGACTGTCTGGGAAACACATGCCTGCTCCTTTGAGCTAAGATATGGAAGGAAGGGACAAGAGGAGTCTACTAACTGATATTCATAGGATTGCAGCTGATGAAGAGTTAACTAAAGT